ATCTCCGACCTCCGACAACCTCCGACCGTAACAAAAGCAGTCCATAATTGCGCTCAGGTTATGTATTTGTGTACTAGTTGTGTAAAAAGCTTAGGAGATCAGGTTTTGGGATAGGCGAGGCCAGAAATATGTTTGTAGCGAGTTTGTAGCGAGTTTGTAGCCGCAATCTTAGGCTCTGAAACGGCCTGTGGGCTAAGAAAACGGCAATTTATTGATTATGCATTTTTTTAAGCCCGGATGGGTGCTCACTCTATACAGCAAAAAGCGAAGTGAGACCCCGGGTCAGAAATCGGAGTCCACTAATTGAAGCAGATCATTCCTTTTTACGGCACTTTTTACAAGTAATTACGATTAGCAACGACTGGCTACCCTTATCAGTAAGTTGTCTCTAAACGGTTCGCATGTGGGGCCGCAAAAATAAACAAAGCTTCATTCTTGTTTTTTTTCTGGTAAGGGACAAGTCGCCCAGCCGCTAAAACTTTCTTATCGGTTCGCTAGATTATCTGCGTGTTTGTATATTTCGCGTATGTGCGATATGTGGCCACCTCTGCTGTCTATGCGATGTGTGTTTGCTTGCGTTGATGTTACCATTGCTGTTCTGAAAGGAGGTTAAGCTTTGTGTTTGACGCAGCACTCATATGTGTATTTTGTGTACTCTGTAACGAGGTTAACTTTGCTGTTCCAAATGGAGATTAAGCTTAGTGTTCAATACGGTGCTACCAATGCATAAGTTTAGGTAATGCTTCTTAAGCATGTAATACACCCAGAATTAGCTCTTACTGCTTACTCTGCGTTACCTTCTGCGTCGTTGAGTGAGTTATCCTCCACAGCCTCGTCCTCGAAGAAGCGCTTGCGAACAAGAAGGCGGCGCTCCTTTTCGAAGGCAGCAACAACAGACTTGTGAATGTGCTCCCTCGGCTCCCACGTTGGCTGCCAATCTACGAGGTAGTTCGTCTGCCGTTTCTCGCGGTTTCCACGTCATCACCTTGCGTACGTGGTGCTGCTTTTCGCCGCCTACATGATCGTCGTCATCTTCAGTTGGAGGAGGCTCGACTAGCCATTCGCGAACATCATCAAGGCCAGCCCGCCGCTTCTTCCGATCCTTCATGGCTTCGTAGACGACTTGGATGGCTTCGGGAAGAAGGCTTGCGGATGCGACGATCGTGTTCAAGGTGAGTCGGAGGTGGCGAATCGCCTCATCATCCAGGCGAAGCTTGTACGCCTTGCCTGTTGTGATACACAGGGTCTTGAACTCTTTCCAGGAGCTAACAGGGTGCTTGGTCGGCTTGATCGTTGGCATGATGAGCAGTCTGACTGTAAGGTGGGTTGTAAATTGCAGAATGGTTTCAAGGTTGCGTAAATCGAAAGGAAACGACTGGATAAGTTTCACTAATGCCCTCCATAACCCCAGGGAAGACAAGTTGCGTGTTATTACTGGATGCAATCTAACGATATGACTTTATTCGTATGCAAAGGTGCAGGGTCGGTGATGCGTCCCGCAGCGTGAAGTTGGTGATAGCTACGGATATGATCGTTGAGAATACCGCTCTTGTGAAGCCTGCGCATGGACTTCAAAACATTTTGGGCTCCACGAGCGGTGATCCTGCGATCTTGAAGAAAAGCTACCAGCTTTCCCTCAGCTTGTGTCCCCAAGGCTAGTACTTCATCGCGATACGTTGGTGATTTTTCGCTCAGCTTGAAACCTTCGGGGAGAAACAGCTTCATGAACGCCACAATCATCTTGAAGATAGACCTTGTGTGCTTTGTAGCCGCGTCTGTCGAGCGCCACATTCGAGGTTCTTGCGCGTACCAGGAGTACCATGCGTCTTTCAAGCTCGTAGCAGCAGAGGTACGACTTCTCTTTACTGTTTGCGTGTTGCTGACCGCTCCCTCACTTGTGTTGTCTCCTGATTCTGCTGTTTCTGCTCGTTCGCGCTTGTTGTAGATCTTAGACTCCATGGTAGACAGTCGGGCGTCAAGCTTTTGGTTGATTTGGATTAACTGCTCAATCAAAGCCGAAATACTGGGTGCTTCATTATATCTTCTGAAGGAATTGGAGGGGTTAACATGCTGGGTTTCCCATCCGGGCTTGTGTTGCTGGACAGGTGAGACGACCATGCAAGAAGCTCATTCACGGATACCCCTTTTGCGACTGCACATGACTCGATACGCTGGCCCGCTAAGGCGTCCGACTTCACGCCTTTCAAGGATGGATAGTGGCGCAACACGTATGCCATGAGGGTATCAGCGACGCGTGCGTTTATGTTGAAGGCCTTCACATCTAGTCCAGTCGAAGCACCAAACAGCACAGAGGCGACAGCGCGAATCTTCGCTTGCGTCTCAGAGTCGAAGAAGTCCAAGGTTAGTAGTGGTACCGGTTTCGCTGGGTCGTGGCCACTCAGTACTCGAGCAACTTTGTGATCTTCGGCTGAAGTGTTGAAGACGTACGCAAATGCCTTGTTGGTCGACGTCATATTCCACGCGCCTCTATCGAAGATCCATTGAACGCACATACCTGACCCGTTCGCGTGCTGCGCACCTCCACGTCGAAATGAATGCGAAGTCAGGCTATCACTCACACCTGCCTTACCCATGACTCGCTCGAGAACGCGATTAACGTAGCTGTGGATACCGGGCGAGGCGTCGACCGTTTTCGGCTGTCCACCAGACTTTGGTGCGTCTTGAGGATGGTCGATCAAGTCAATCAGAGGTGCAGCTGGCGTCTGAGATGGTACGGAAGGCCCCTGCTGTTCTGGAAGCTGGTTGAGAAGTGCCGCTGTTGGCGATGAGTGCGTGATTAGCGCAAGGGCAACGGCAAGCAACGGACACGTGGTAAAGTCGGAGTCTGGGAAGAGTGATAAGCCTTGCTCCTTGGAAGTCTTGACCCGGATGAGCCGAACGAAAAAGATATCGCCGGATCCAATCGTCAGATTCGTTTTGCGGAGAAGCGTCAGGTCCGACGCGCGCCCGAACAGGTACCAGAGTAAGCATAAGAGCGCCGCATCTTGGTAGTCGCTGGCGCAAGTTGCAGCTGAATACAAGTATTCGGTCATCTGCTTAAGAGCTTTCTTCGTGCATGCTGGGGCCTTGTTAACAAACGTTCCTGTCTCGCGTTATATGCAGTAGCGCTCCAACACTTGGTCTTTCTTGAGCAGATTCTTTTCAGCTGCGACGCGATGCTGGGGAAACTGGTCGAGCAACCAGTTCTTTGCCTGTCGGTAGTACTGCATCACCGAGTGTCGAGCTAGAAACTGTCCCTTGCGGCCTTCCTTGAAGGCGAGATACATGCCAAATTTGTCTACCACACCATCTAGAACCAACGCGGCCGTATCGCGGCTCATAGACGCCTCTAAGTATTCCCACGTCACATCTTCGTCTTTTAAAAACGTTAGAAACGAGCGTGCTGCGCTTTCCCGAGCGCACTTCGTGTTGGCGGGCGCAAGATCGTTGAGGCTCATACTGAGTCGGAGATGTCGGAGCTTTCACGTTATTCGAAAAATATGTGAATGACTTACAGTTTGTAAAAGGATATCAATAACAGGACCGCTTCCTCCGACCCGATATGTCGGAGCCAGCTCCAATGAGATTCAACCTAACCCTTACCATTTGGATTGGCCAAATCATTTTGTCAAGACCGTACGATTGGCTGTCTAATAAATAAAGATGGATGATTGGAGATTAATGCCAATACTAAAATTAAGTTGGGTCGGAGAATTGATGATATTCATCCATAAAATAAGTTTCTTAAGCTATAAAAATATTTTTCAGTAAGTAAATTTTTGAGGATCCCTTTGGATTGTCTGGGAGCCAAAATTACCCAAGCGATGAAATACGTTTTGACGTCACCTGGTGATTATTGACGGTGTATCTAGAACAAACCAACACGTGATAAGCGAGAGCATTCTTTGGTGTACACTGTATCATGAAGAGGAACGAACGGCGTCTATTGTTTGTCTGCTCTACCAGCGCACGACGAGAGTTGTCGTTTGACACAGAAACTAAGATACGGTCGAAAGAATCACGGTGCACTCTTCGACGTTAGAGCGGCTGTCAAGAATGATTATAAGCTGGACACCAGCGAAACGCTAGCCAGCATAAAAGTCCTAGGTGCAGTCACTTGCCTGTCTAGCGATGATGGTGGAGACGTGGCAAATGAATCAAGACGTGAAGCAACGGTGAAGGCAACGTATTATTACGCTGGCGGATCGAGTCGCTATATGTTCTTCTCGGATATAGAAAAAAATCCTGATCTCTAAAAACTCGAAAGCGACCGGAATTATTAGTCGCTATGCTGCTGTTCTCCTCGGTATGCGCTGCAAGTAAGATGAGGCTGAAAAAGTAACGAAGATGCTTTGGAAAAGAGGCAACACAGTGGCAAATACGTGGCAGATCGATGTTGAATTCTTCTTACGTCTTCATGCTGAAGGTGTCAAAGTGTGTGACAATCACGGAAATAATATGTGCAATGTTACGTGGCTTTCGAAGCAGGTCAAAGATTTGGATGCAGTTCCGCTGGATCTACCCAACGACGAAACTTGGTTTGAGCCAACATATTGGAGCGAAGGCGGCTACGATGCCATTATGATGAGCAGGGAGACTCTAACTGTAAGCTTTTACCAGCTAGCGACTGCACCGCAGCAGCCTTTCCACGTTGAGTATTTCTCGGAGTGCTTGGAAGCATTTGTTGCATCACCCGCTGGGTTGGATGTTAAACACTTAAAGGTGTTTTTTGTCACGGAGGATAGCAAACTAGCTGTCTTCCGTGTCCATCACATCACTGGACAAGGGTTTTGTGAATATTTGAATGGCCGGAAGGCGAAGGGATAGATCGAGCCTAAGTTGTTGGTATTGAGCTCATTTACTACATGTAGTAGGCGAAACAGCCAAAGCCTCAGTCAGACTCAAATGCATTCTACTTTATGCAAGGAAAATGTCAATTTTTTGGTTGTCTTTGTTTCTACGAAGCTCACAAAAAAAATGTTATTCGGTTGACGATGCATCTATGGTTTTTGTCCGATCTTGCGCAGGTGACGAATCTTCTGCGATCGCGTCATGGCCAAGTCTTTTTTTAACGCAAAGCGCTTCGCTGCGGAGATAGCAAAGTCATCCAATTGCTGCTCGAGTTTGAGGACCTTAGAGTTCAACTCGGCCAGTACTTCATCTTCGGCTGCTGGTGGGGCTGGCGTTGTAACTGGAGTTGGTGTAGGGGGCGGCTGCGTGTCAAAGGGCGGCGCTGATGGCTCGGAGACCTGCTTGGTAGGAGGCACTTCTAGCGGCTTGAAGGGGGAGGTCGAGGCATTTACACGAAGACGCTTCGAGTCTGGAGTACCGCGTTGGGGCACGGGGTCTTCGTTGTTCTGGTGTGACAGCGCACTAGTCGACGTGGCTGTATGTTTGGCTGCCTGTGATCCCTTGCCAATGGTGGGTGGTAAGACATCGGGAGGGAGTCTATTGCGAAGATACTTTAGCACTGCCTCGGTGCCACTGTTGAGGATGTGAGCTCGAATGCCACGCTGCGGATTTCCACCCAGATAGAGCGCTCGGAGGTTCTCACACAGTGCAAATTCTGCTGGAATCTGGTTAAAAGAAAGGGTGTTAGTTCCAGTATTCCCATGCAGAAACAGTGTATGGTCTTAATACCTGACGCAGCTCGTTGTTCTCTAAAGACAGCGACGTCAACTTTGGCGCTTGGTAGACGGTTCCGCATGACTCCAACTGCAATAAGCACAATGGTTTTTAGAGTGCTAGACACAATTAAATAGACACGATTCATACTTACGCGATTGTGTGCAATGCTGAGCACCGAGAGCTGGCTCATGGAGGACCATGGAAATCCATTCAAACCCTTGATACGGTTAAATGAGAGTAAAAGCGTGTCCATCGCTTGCAAGTTCTGCAAGTTCTGGGGAATATCCGTCAGCACATTGTTGCGTAGATCCAGTTCTTTCAGAGACGACGAGATACCAGCACGAGTACCCGACGCTAGCATCGCTGTGACAGCATCTGTCGTAAGCGAGTTTTTACTCAGCCGCAAATGTTCCAGACGTGGTAACATCGCGATCGAAGCGTGGACGGACTTTAAGCCGCACTGCTCTGCCGTGAGCGTCTGCAACGACGTGAGCTGGCCAGCCGTAGCAGGTAGCTCGACCAGCCAGTTCTTCGACAAATTGAGCTGAAGTAAAGATTCTCCAAAGCGATGTTTCCCTGCTGCGTGGAGCTGGTATGGTAAATTCTGGAGTTTCATATCAACAAGCTGCAAATTGCCTGACGCAGCCGCGTTCCGGAACAAATACTCGTCTTCTAGCGGTGGTTCTTCGGCCATAGGTTCGTCCTGCTCTATCACCTCCTGTCGGATGGCGAACTCGTCCACTTCTTCCTCCATGGCATCGACTCCGACTGGTGGTTTACCGCGAGTACGCAGATATTTCTTCAGTGGCTCCGTTCCAGCCGAGATAATAGATCGGCGGATGGATCGTAGAGGGTTTCCCTCAACCAACAAGTGAGTCAGATACTTGAGATATCCAAAGCCCGGGGGTAAATCAAACAGGTCGTTGTTTGTAACATCGAGCGTCTTCAAGCGGTACAGCTGTGGAATTCCATCCGACAATCGCTGCAGCTTGTTGTCTCGAACATCCAGCACCGTCAGGGACTCTTTAACACTCAGCACAACTTCTTGGGGTACATCACGCAGCAAATTGAACCCCAGGAAGAGCTGATCTAAGCACGAGTTATTCTCGGGCAGCGTTGGAAATATTTCCAGCTTGTTCTGACGCAGATCAATGTACTTGACGGCTGTCAGCTCGAGAAAAGCGTCACCAGTAGTAGCCAAGCAATTCTTCTTCAAATCTAACGTCAGCAGCCCTGTAAGTGAGTTAAATGATGCTGGGAGCGCTGCAATTTGATTCGAGTGCGCCGTCAACGTCTTCAAGTTTCTTAATTTCCCGATTGTCGACGGGAGCGCTTTTAGTTGATTGCTCTCGACCCGGAGCACCTCCAAATGAACTAGACCACCAATAGACTCCGGTAGTTGCGTCAATTTGTTGCCTTCCAGCCCCAATTCCCGCAATTTGTCTAGTTTGCCTAATTGTTCCGGTAAACAGCCTTCCAATTCATTGCTACAAATGATACAGTCTTTTAATTAGTACCCAATAATGCAAATAAAAGATGAACGGTGACGTACTTGCTGAGGTCGAGACTTGTGAGTGTCTCTAAGCTCCATAGGGTCAAAGGCAGCTGACGTAGATGATTGTGGCGCATCTTGAGGCTCACAAGGTACTTGAGCGTCTCTACTTCGTTCGGAAGCTCTGCGATCTCGTTGTAGCTGTCAGTAGTGACGTTAGATAAGCGTCAATTGTATAACAAACGATGGGTGCTGTGTCAAATATCACCTCAGGTCTAGCTTCTTAAGTACTGCACACTCCCAACTGTGCTCATCCTCGTCCAGCTCGTCGTAAAGGCGGAAAACTTCGTTGGGGAACACGTGAAAGTCACGGGACGACAGATTCAAGCTACCGGATTGACGTGCTAGACGTAAAGTCCGCGCCATAGCGGAGTTCTGAGCAGCGGGAGCTTCCTGTGAGCGCCGCATCGCATCCCGAAGGCTGACTCGCGACGTCATGGCGAAATGACAGCTTAGAAATGACTTTCTAACACGAGATACATATTATTGTGTAAAGACGAAGTGGTGCAAAACTATTTTTACAAGATACATGTATTAATAGAGCGTATCCTATGAGCGCTTCGTACGACCAACGCCAAGAAGCTATAATACTCGTGAGCGAAGTCAAAATTTAACTACAGGTGAACAAAGTCAAGTGTCTGTCCCGAAATGGAACAGCTCCAGTCTTGTCTGCTGGGAAAACGAACAAGTGCTGCCTCAGGCACCGTAGGCTGATGGGGAAGGTTGAACCAGGCCGCAAGGGCCCGCGCAAGCCTTCAATCGACTCGTCGGTGACACTTCGTGAGAGTCAATATGTCACGGTCAAAACAAAGAGCAAACGCTCGATCATGCGAGGGCAAATGTTCAACATACTGCGCCGACTTGCCGCAATTGCAGCAGCTATCCAGTATGTTATTGTCTCCATGTCAGCCACTTCGTGGGCTTTACACGTTCTGAGTGGAGCACACAATCCTACTGAGACTTTACGGGTGTTCCCGTCATCACTTATTCAAGGTTACATGGGTGAAGGACTTGTCCGCGACAGTCCTTTAGTCCAAAATATTTTAGGTGGCGACACAACTCCTCGAGACTCCGCACTGTTCCTTGAGTCGGAAACGAAGACCTCGACCGAAAACTGCTCCACAGTGCCTCTTTTTAACTCCGCAATCTACAATTTCGAGTTCTTGAGCGAAAGATTCCAGGGAATGATAGACGACTCGAAGTATAACACCTCCGAACTTGACAATCTGGAACTCGTACTGATCGTAGTCGACTGTACGTTCCGGCAAATTCTCACGGGTGACCCGTCCGCGGTGCGAGTGTTCAACTTGGTTCGTTCGCAATCTGACCCCAACGACTTGTACGTGGTCACAATGTCGCTGAATGTACAGGAGTATGAGGTGCGCGGGTTAAGGAAGAAAGGCCCAGCGACGGTGGGTATACTCACCAAGGTGCAAGACATGCAGGCTCAAACAGTGGAAACGTTCTATATGGTAGCACGGTCGTATCCGTATCTGCGCGTGCCGACCTTCGAGATGTATGAGCGGGTGGGAGTAACGAGTGATAGTTATCGGGAGCTACTCAGTATTCCACGCGATCCGTATACTCAGCCTGTGCTGCATTTGGTCACGGCACGAAAACGTGGTTTTTACAATGGTGACACGCAGCGCAATGTTCGCGTAATGTATTCATCCTTGGATGGGCTGAACGCAAAGACAGCACTGACACGCTGGGAGTGGATTGGTCGGGCTGGAACTCAAGATTCATGGGCCTGGGTGCATTGCATTCATTTCTTCTTTGGCTTGCAGACAATCTATTCCTTGATTGTGCTCTTCCTCGTGACGTATCAGAAGATTCGGTCGGGCAAAGTTTGGATTGGGGATCCCTTCTCAACGATATCGACAGCCGACCTGGTGCTGCGGGGTATTCTAGTGCTGGTCTCCTGCTTTCTTGACAACTTTTGGTCGGTCAACGAGTACGCAATGTCTAGAGCCTCGATGCTTACGGGATCCCAAACGGTTCTGGTTCATAAAGAGATCATGCATGCTGACATCCTGGTGATCGTACTCAGTATGGCGGGGTTTCTAAGCGCTATCTTTCGCGAACGGCTTGACCCCTCAATTGCCATTTTTCTCTTTGAGTTTATTCACAGGTACCAATTGCCTTTGATACGCACTGCGCCAGTCGTTGTGGAGAAGATTTCGACCTACTCGAACTTGCAATGGGGACGTGGTCTAGCGCAGGTCACTCCCGCGATTGCAGACATGTCTCCCATGTCGTTATGGTCATCGTTCCAGTTTCCAGCGAAAGATCCAGTTTTTATCATTGTATCCTTCTTTCCAACGACTTATTTGATGGTCGCAATGTCGACTCTTGCAATTCTTCGGAAGATCTATCGATGGCGCTATCCGGATAAAGTCCATGTTCGATCGAGCCAAAGTACGGATACGTCTGGGAGCGAGAAGGCCGCGATGTCGACAAGAGGAATTGTTACCAACTTTGAGCTTTCAACTGGTGCGATGCTTCGGACACGGTTCGGACTCATTTCAGACTACAACAACTATGTTTACTTTAAAGGGATGAAGTTTGCATCTCCTGATGGGGTCTACTGCTCGGGCTACGTGATCGTCAATGGCAAATTTCTAGTGAGTACGGAGAATCTGCTGGCAATTGTGATGATCAAGTTGGTTCACGCACGTCTTACGAATGTGTACGTGTACGAAGTAGACGGGAATACTGTCAAGGAGACAGCTAGACTGGTGTATCCGAACACGTTCATGTGGTCAGATTTATGGCGTCTAAACGTCACAGTCTTACTCTAGATAGTTTACGGAGAAATATTTTGCATTTTTTTTAACAGAACTTGCACGATATCTTACCGTTTCTAGATTATTGAACCGTCGCTGTAGTAGTTAAGCCGATCAATCGAGCGTACGCCATGTCGGAGCCGCCGGCATCTCCTGGGTCTAAGAGGAAGATGCCGAAGCATCTTCGTCATGCCGCCACTAATCGGAGTAAACTGGTGACAGCAACACGCTCCAAGCGGAAACCTCGCGTGTATCTGGTCCAGCGATCTACCGGGGAGCCCATGCGTGAATGGGTGCAGCGAAACCTCGAAAGCTCGTTGGCTGGCAACACGTTCAGTGCTACAATGGCCATTTTGAGTACTTTCCAGGCTCTATTCCACGTTAGTCTTAACTGGACAGGACTTCGAATTGGACTCGATTCTTGGATGCAAGGTACAAAGTTATGAGTAAAAGAATACAGTGTGTTTTCAACTAATTGATATACGCCGTCACCAGAGGTCGATTTCAGCATTAATCTGGTGTTCACGCTCGAGTAAGTCTGTGCTTATATCGCTATTCTGCAATACATCTCTCATTAATCTTGGTTCAGGTATGTCGTGCACGCGTATGCGGCGTTCGATCGCCTCGAATACATCGTGAGTTTCTTTCCGCTAGTCGAATTTGCAGTTGTGTTGCCGTCATGGTTTGATCTCATCACCACGCACACTCCCAGCATCGACTACACCGACGCCCTTCCTCAAGTTTCGCGAATGTTGCGTCCCTTACGTTTCATTCGTATTTTCCGACTTGTGCAATTCGCGACATCGTCTCTTCAGCAACAAGCTGTGGCTGCGATGCTCACCATTGTCTCGATCGTCTTCACTACAGCCGGCGTGGTGCAAGCTACCGAGGCTTGTCTCCAAGAATGTGACGGAGAGCCGAAAGTATGCAAATGTCGCGACTTGTCGTTCCCGAATTTACTCTACTTTGTGGTGGTCAGTATTTCGACTTTGGGTTATGGTGATATCGCCCCCGTGTCCATGAGTGGCAAGTTCGTGGTCGCCTTCGTCATCCTCTTCACGTTCATTGTAGTACCCATTCAAGTGAACGGTATTCAAGCCACGATCACTTCGCATACCGATTATTCGTCTGCCTATTCGGAAGCCAAGCTACACCCTCATGTGATCCTCACTGGGTTTGTCAATGCCGACTCGCTCTCGGTGTTCTTCGGTGAGTTTTTCCACCCCAGCAATCTCAACTGGAACGAACGAGTTGTCATTCTCAACGCTGCTCCACCCACACCGGAGATCAACAAGGTGCTACATGCTTACGATAGTAAAGCCCAGTACATTGTGGGCTCTCCGATGCTGGATGAGGATTTAACGCGAGCTGTTCTGTGCGATGCGAGTGCTTGCTACGTCCTAGTGAACCGACAGTCTTCACGTCCACAGTATGCGGATCAATGCTGTGCGCTTATCACGATTGCGCTGCGTCGTGGAAACCCGACATGTCCGATTTACGCGCAGATAATTAACTCTCGCAATGCAGCGACGTTGCTTAAAATGGGCGCTAGTGATGTGGTAGTTGTGGGGATGCTCAAGTTCTCGATTCTAGGGAGAAGTTGCCAAGTGAATGGACTGCCTACGCTTCTCCTCAACTTGCTTGCCCAATGCAACAGCGACTTGGACAGCCATCATTCCTCGTTGCAGTGGCAGAGTCAGTATCTTCATGGGTATATGCACGGTATCTTCCTTGTTGATATCCCCCGAACATTCTCGAGTCTTACATTTGGTGATCTCATTCGCTTCCTGTACGACAAAGCCTCGATAATTCCTCTCGCGATGCTTACCGACGACGGAGTGCGCTTCATGGACATGGACTATAAACTGGGAGCCACTCCCGATCCGAATCTTTGCTGTAAGGTGTATGCAATTGCCAAAGGCCTCAGTGCCGTCGAAGGTGTCATGAAGATCCCACCGGAGCAGATTCTATCGTACCGCAAAGGTATGCGTCGCAAAGGCAAGTCGACGTCGGCTACTAATTTAAATGAGATGAAGAAAATTAAACCTGCGTTGGGGAACGAGATCGAGCAGATCCGCGAGAGTATCATCAACATGTACACGGTCGCTGACGACTACGACCTGGAAGCGGCGATGGGGTTGGCTGAAAATTCCAATGGGCTTAACACGAGCTCGCAGGAACGGTTAATGGGGGAAATGTCGGAGTATGAGCGCTTTGCAGCGCTTGGTGTACCGGACGATGTCTCCGACCATATTGTAGTCTGTGGTTTCCCATCCGACACTTATCATTTTATCAAAACCATTCGAGAGGCACCTATGCCGGACGACAATACTCCGTCTCCAGCTGTAGTTTTCCTGGCGTCGGCGTGTCTGGATGAGCGCGAATTTGAGCGTCTACGTGGTTTTTGTGATGTGTACTTTGTACAAGGATCTCCTGTAAACTTTGGCGATCTCAAGAAAACCAATATTCGCTTTGCAATATCGGTTTTGATTCTCACACAATCGTCGGAAGTACAGTATTCCGACCCGAATATGGTGGATGCTGACGCAATTACTATTGTGCGGTACATTGTGGAGATCAGTCAGCGCACAAGGATGCCAAATCTCGTGGTCGAACTGGACAAATCCTCGAATGTTAAGCTACTGAGTTCGTTGGCCAATGAGAGGCGGACGAGCTCTGCCTTTGGGCTACCAGCATTGGTAGTCCGCAATATATCGTACCGTTCACCTCGTCGAGACAGCGTGTCGTCTGTGGCTCGACGTGATTCGTTCTGGTCCTCTCTCGACGAAGGGGACGGTAATACCGACGCTTCCTTTGTGTTGGAAGAGTTCATCGCCTCGGGTCGAGTGTTCATGAACTCAATGCTCGACTCTCTTATGAGCGAATGTTACAGGAAACCATGGATCACACAGTTTCTTCATATCCTCATTAACGGCAGCATCAACGACGTCGAGTACGCTTTTTTGTTTTCAATTGTAGAGGAGCGATTGGATATTGATATTGTTGTTGAAGGGAGCGCCGCCTTTTCCAGGTCGAAGCGCCCGATGAGCTTGTGGCCCTAAATTATGGTGCATGCTTTCGAAAGTTTCTCGACATGGTTCGTGCTGTGTAGATAACTTATGTGAAGATTACTGACAATTCTTGTCGTGTTCTTGTTTAGGCAAGCTGCATGGTTATCGGGTTGTGGCGCCCAGAACGTGGCGTGGTGCTTCCCCACCCTTGTGTCTTCATTAACCCTCCCATGGACCTCCAGGTCGAGCCTGGAGACCTCTTCTTTGTCGTGGGAAAGCCTTTCACCTTCGCCTCTAGCCCCGACATCTTCACAAACGAAAGTTGAAGCAAGCTTATATTTACATTCGTATTTTCCACCAATCCATATTCCATTTCTAAGTTGTTTCATCCAATCACATGCATTCTTCTTCTGTGGTGCACTTTTATCGAGTGAGCTTGGCCTGCATTGAGTCCTGTCGGTTCTGCGTCAAGATGAGTGCGTTCCGGTCCAAGTTCCTGTATCCTGCCAAGGTAAACTGGTTCCCGGGCCACATGGCTCTTGCCAGGCGTCAAATGGTGGCGCAGATGGACGCTGTGGACGTGCTGATCGAGGTTCGCGACGCTCGAATCCCGTGGAGCTCAGCCAACCCCGTCCTGGAAGAAGCGTTCGGCAAGTCCAAGCCCCGACTCGTAGTTTTCAATAAAAGCGACTTGGCCAACTCAAATATGCAGCAACGAGTTGAAAAACAGTGCAAAAATCAGCTTGGAGAGGCCACTGACTGCCTCTTCACGTCCGTGACCAAAGGCAAACGGCTTCAAGCCATCTTGCAATGGTGCAACAAGCACAGCCAAGCGCAGTTCAAGAGTACAGCGGGATCTATGGTCATGGTGGTCGGTATCCCAAATGTGGGCAAGAGCTCGCTTATCAACGAGTTTCGGCGGCTCTCGAACTCTGGAAAACTGGCCAAAGGTCGAAGCAGAGCGACAGTGGGGCCGACACCCGGAGTCACCGTTCGCAACGACATCATCAAGGTGTGTAGTGACATAAAGGTTAAGAGCGGGTTAAAGGTTATCGACTCATGTGCACGTTGTTATGGTTTGATGGCTCTAGGTGAACGACAAGCCGGCGGTGTATGTGGTGGACACGCCTGGTGTCATGCTGCCCAATATTCCGTCATCGGAGACGGGTATGAGACTGGCACTGACTGGAGCTATCAAGGACGACGTAGTAGGCACTGAGTTGATTGCAGACTACATGTTGTTCTTGCTCAACCAAATGAAGTCGACACGGTATGTGGACACGCTGAAGCTTCCAGGACCAACAGACAACATCGGTGATCTCTTCAAGCTCGTGTACAAACGTTGCGGTGCATTGGGAAAAGAACCGGACGTTCAAGACCGTCTGGCAGCGCAGTTCTTACTAGCAGAATTCCGTCGAGGAGCTCTTGGCAACTTCACGTTGGATCCTATCGATACACCAACTGAGGTCATTAAACCCACAGCACCTTCATCGTAATAGAGATAAATTTTCCTGGTAGATCCTTTAAATGGCTTTAGCGAAGCAGAGTCCCAAGGTGTGAGGACGAGAATCGAGTCTAATGACCCGCTATTCTTAGTGGCCTCCCGATGGTGACACCTTGCGCATCCAGTTTGCAAGTTGCTGGCAGCTCCTGCAAGTCGTTTCGGCTGCCGAGTACACAGTGGAAAGTCACAGCTCGACGTACACAGATAGCTCGTGGCTTGAGACCGTGCCCCAAAATAAGCGCAACCGCCGCTGCAAGTCGGGATGATCCCATTCCCGCTTTTCCAAACGGGGCACACCAGAATGACAGACACGCCCTCGCGGGTGTCCATGGCGAAAGTGATCCCCAAGGATGCGTCAGGTAAAGTCACCGAGATGGTTCGTAGCAGTGGCCGTAGTGGCACGAACCAGCACAGCAAAAACGAGTCTCCTGTGTATGCTCCGAAAACGCCTAATGGGGTGAGCAGTGCACCGGTGTCGCCTCAAAAGGGGACTCGACTGCACATTATGGGCGCCAGTATGCACGACCTCAAGCTCAACCACATCTTCCGTCCGCGGGGAAGCAGGAACGGTGGGACTCCAAGTCGTCAGGAAGATATTGGCATCTCCTTCGTGTCGCTGGAGTTTTCCAATGCAGAAATGGAGCAACGCTTCACACTGGCGCGATGTGTGAAATACCAGACCCGACTCAAATTTGGAGCAGGGTTTACCGCGTTCTTCATCCCGCTACTGGTTATTATGCAAGTGAGCTTCAAGGCCAACGCGGAAGACGGCACCAAGTGGACCCAGCTACCCCTGGTTATGGTGTTTCCCGGGGTTGTAACCTTGATGGGTTTACTCGTGTGCTTCTTTCAGCACTTCTTCATGACCCACATGCGATGGCTAACTCTAGTCTGCCTCGTCGGACAGATTAGTGCGTTGCTAGACACCACGGCTGCTGGAACTATGGTGAGCGAACGTAACATTTGGGTGCAGTTCATCTTCTCGCTGGGTATCACGAGTTCGACGGGGTTAACCTTTCTTAAGTCCACGACAGTACTGGTGTGCTCCAGTCTATTCTTCCTGATCCTAGCGTGGGTACGTTTCGCTAGTAAGACGTCCACTGAACAGCTGAGTGCTCCAGGAACGGTGAGTGCTGCTATCATCCTCTATTCGATCCTACTCTGCTTCTTGTCGTGGAACTGGGAGTACGAAGAACGTCGTGACTTCGTGCTGACTGAACGACTAGCTCAGGAGAACGTTATGGTGCAAATGACTATGGAGATGACGGGCTGGTTCAGTGGTGGTGCAGCGGATCAATCACCAGACAACAGATCCGACGCTGGTGGTATTCTGAGTGCGAATTGCCACATCGACCCCAAGGACGTACTAGTGAAGGAAGAACTGGGTGAAGGCACCTTTGGTTGTGTGTATGCAGCCACTTGGAAAGAGACTCGTGTGGCTGTGAAGAAGATCACGTTGCAAGGTGATACCAAGTCCATTGTGACAAGTTTTGGCTCGGAAGCCAGCGTCATGGCTCAACTGCGTCACCCGAACGTCGTCATGTTCATGGGTGTCATGGTTCACCCGGAATTCGTGGGGTTGGTCATGGAACTCTGCCCCAAAGGGAGTGTGTACAGCGTCATCCACAATGATGATGTTAAGATCGATTGGTCTTTGTTGCTTCGTATGATGGTCGACTCGAGTCGTGGAATGCACTTCTTGCACTCGAGTAAACCGCCTATCCTGCACCGAGACCTTAAGAGCGTGAACTTGCTTATTGATGCAGACTGGAGATGCAAAGTGTCGGACTTTGGTTTGTCCAAACTCAAAGCTTTCCGTGAAGATCGCAACGACGCGAGTATGAGTGCGAGTACCAATGCTGGGAACAAGCCCAATGGCTCTCGCGTATTCATCGGCTCGAGTGTATGGATTGCACCTGAAGTGTTCAAAGGTGAGGAACACACAGAGAAGACAGATGTGTACAGCTTTGGCGTGATCATCTTCGAGGCATTGAGTAGCTCCGTACCGTACAATTCCATCTCGGTAGACGCTGTTCCCTTCGTGGTACAAGCTGGGAAGCGTCCTATTGACTTCCACCCACTGGAGTTGCCACCAGGAGATGCTATGCAGGATCTCTACAGCCTTATGACACGTTGCTGGAGTGCAGAGCTCTATGCTCGACCATCCTTCTCCGTCATCATTTCAACTTTACAGTCCATTCTAACCAAACATTGCGGTGACGAGAAGTGGGAGGATCATATCATCTACCCTGACCGGAAGATCGTTAGTGCTATGAATGCACCTGCAGACGATGACGGGTTGTCTATCCGAGAGGAGGATTTGGTAGTGGATTCGGCTATCGGACGTGGCGTCTTCGGTGTCGTGTACAAGGGCAGCTACTTCGGTACCCCAGTCGCTATTAAAAAGCTTCATGTGAGTGGTGTACCTAAGAACACGTTGGTCGAATTTGAGAAGGAATGCAGCATCATGAAAGGCTTACATCATCCGAATATTGTGCTGTTCATGGGCTCCTGCTCCAAGCCACCGACGCTGCTACTTGTCACCGAGCTGCTTGCAAACGGAAGCTTCTTCGATATCTACCACAAGATGCCACGTCCTGAACCAGCTCGACAATTGCGTCTGGCTTACAGTGTGGCGTTTGATATGGCTAAAGGGTTGGCGTACCTGCACAACCACAATCCGATCGTGATTCATCGCGATCTCAAGTCCCAGAACATCCTTTTGGACGACCGGATGCGTACAAAAATTGCAGACTTTGGGCTCTCGAAGTTCCGTGATGTCGGTAAGACCATGTCGATCTGTGGTAGTCCGCTGTGGGTGGCGCCTGAAGTGCTGCGTGGAGAGAAGTATGGCACTCCGTGCGACGTCTACAGCTTCTCCATCATTGTGTGGGAAGCTCTAGCTTGGGGAGAACCCTACCCAGATCTGGGATCTAGTGATATTATGAACGGTGTCGCGGGTGGGAATCTGCGCCCGAGTGTGCCGGATGGAACGCCGGCACCGTTTGCCCGCTTGTTAGAAGAATGCTGGACCAAAAAACAGGACCAACGTCCAACGTTTAACGAACTCGTACCAAGACTCGAAGCCATGGGCAAGGACTTTGGAGCCTAGACTTGTGAAAGACTATAGTTCCTTTATCGCTAGCTCTTAGTGTACGCTCTATCTTTTCTGATCTCGTTCTCTGACACATCGCTCTCATCGTGTATTTAATACAAACAACTCTAATCTCTTACCTACTCTGTCTCCTCGTCAGAGGTAAGAGCCAACTGGAAAACACGGTAGTGGTGGTTCAACGACTTGATGGTATGCAACTTGAAGGAGCTCATGAGAACGCCGTCGCTAGGATTCGCGCGATCAAATAACACACGTCGAGCTCGACTGTGCACCAACGCCATCGCACACATAGCACACGGCTCTCGGTCTAGATATACGTCATATCCAGTGCACAGGTACGACTCGCCCTGCTTCTTGTCAGCCAAGATTTCGTCTACCGCCACCTCTGAGTTTACTGCTTCTACACACTTCTGCTTCTTGCGTGCCGTCTCTTCATCGTCCTCAGCTTCTCGTCGTTGGTCACGCTCTGCAACACCGTCGACTGCCACCATAACGGGGTGATACAGCGTCTCGTATTTGTATTTCACTTGCATGTCACCATGCACTTCCGACGCGACAACTTGCGCGTCCAGCTCGGGGTCCACGATAGCACAGCCCCATGCACAGCTCAACGTTTTCTGTCTCTCCTTCTTCAGTTGCTTTCCAATTTGGATTGCCGTTCTAAGATGTTTCTCCATCTTTTCCTTTTCCTCCTTTTCGATTGGAGGCAACGCTGCAGCTTCTTCAACGCTGGCGTGGAAAATTAGAGGCCAACATCTTGTATGCTTCTCGAACAGCTCGCGAGTGCGCGGTGCAAGCTTCAGAGCCTCCGCAGTCGTGAATTTAGCTTCAAATATTTTTTCCAATTGATGCAGCTCTTGTGAGGACGTTACAGACGCTAGATCATTGGATTTTAGGGGACAAACTAGTGCCACGAGCATTTTCGGAGCTTCCGGATGCTTCTTTAAACGCTTAAGGTGCGCAAATCCAAGCTCCGTTAGAGGCTGAAAATTGGAGGAGAGATGCTTCATGACCTTGGAACCGAACCGGGCGGGGAATTCTAGCGCCACGAAAAGTTGCTGCGCCTCCAGCACCTCCGGATCGACTTCATCGGAGGCAACGACTTCCACAAGCTCCATAATTATCGACTGGCAGAGGAAAAAAAGTGTGTCGTACACTAAACATTGGAAAGTTGCAATGATGTAGCCATTTATAGCCTCGATCTTCTTCTCGCCATGACATCACCGAAGTTCTTCAGTAAAGCGCCAACACAACCGAAGGTGCTACCATTTGCATCTGCGACGGATCCCACGTTGCATCGCTCGGCGTGGAAGAGCACTCGAGCAATTGAGACTTTTACTCTGATTCCTCGTAGGGTAAGTGCATTTTTTGAAATCGTCATAAAATTTGACTAAAACTGGATGCTGTTAGTAGCCACCTTCTCGGTTTCGCGGGCAACTACGTTATGATCTGTTGGGTCCATTGCAACCGTCAGCTCCGAAGACAGTAGAGTCTACGGGTGATTCTGAGTCACCTGTCTCAAAATTTAAATCGCTAGCTAATGACGATTCTCCTGAATCTACAAACAATGCAAAAGTTTCTACTGACGAGCCCCAGGGCTCAAGTCCAACGCAGCAGGCCTTGGGTCCTCGACAAGACGCTGCTACTACTAAACCTGCAACAAATAACGAAGCAGTGGTAAAAAGTACACATGCTGGTGCGAAAACTTTGATGACGAATCTGGAGGAGCTGCGCTGGTTCCAGCATCGGTGGCTAGATAAGCACGGCAGGAACAGCAACCTCAAGACAACTCGTGAACAATTAGCTCTAATGCGGCGTTGGTTTGACTCACTTGACGCTGACGGATCTGGTGAAGTCGGGCTGGACGAACTGGAGGATCCTCTCGTGTCAGTCGGACTAGCAGCCAGTCGAGACGATGTGCAGCGTTTGATCGAGGAGGTGGATGTCAATGGCACTGGTAGTGTCACTTTCGACGCTTTCCTGAATTTATTTTACCCAGAACGAGTCAAGCGTGAGCGAACTCGAAGATTTCCTCCTCCACTGCATGCTCCAAAGCATCGACCCCCCGCACGGTCCCAAGTTTCGTCGGGTATTTCTAAAGCGAATCCGAAAGGAAAGCGTTCTAGACATGTGGAAACAAACGTTGTCAATCCAGTGGCCCGTCTATTCGAGAACCTCCAAGCTGGTAAACTCGGTGATCTAACCGTCCCATTTCCCGTTCTCATCACAGCCTACCGACGTCGGATGCTACTCGACGCACACATGGCTGACAATTCGACTGCAAAAAGGTATCGTAAAAGTTGTAAGATCGAGATGAACGCAGCACTCTTTCAACTGACATCCGTACTAGAGTTGGGTCTTCAGTGTTGCAGGCACTTGAGTCAACAAAGCGAGACAATTCAACTCCTGAGACGACGTTTGATTGGCGCAAGAAACATACCGATCTCCAGCTTCCGACACTACCATGACTTTCATATGTAGCCAAGTGCACTAACAGAATGCGCAAAAGTGATCAAGAAATAATTATAACACAACTGACATTCTCTCCTCTTTCTCTGAATCAATCTCGCCACTTTACAGATTCATTTTCCCAAGCCTCGTCGGCTCCCCGCGCCCGTGCCGACAAAGGGGTTCGACTCACAATGTCCTACGCCACCGCTCGAAGTGGCTTCACTGTCCTTGATGATGCACGTCGAACGTGAGAAGGTTTCCCGAAAAAAAAATCTGGAACCCCACTCCATCTACTCGCTCGATGAGACACCACCCCTAACACGTAAGGGCAGCTCAGCTTCCTTCGCTACGCACCACAGGAGGAGAATAAAGGGCGCCCTGCCACTTCCCTCTTGACTTCCCGTGGCCCAAATTTCGCCAACAAGGCATCCGCGGTGTTCCGTTCGCTCCCCAAAATCCCACAATGCGGCGTTGCTTGACTGTCGACCATCGCTCATATTGGGAAGAATTTACTTGGCATTCACTGTACTCATTGGTGGAGTCTTTGAAGAGCCACTAGTACTTGTCACTGGCTTCTGCATCGGTGTCTGAGACGGCTGGGAGGCTTGAGGTCCCGACGTTGCAGCGCCCGGATGCTGCTGGTTCGGGGCAGCACCCGGCTGACTGCCAGCCTGGCCGGCAGCTCCTACTTTTGTACGCTTGAAAGCTGCAGCATTTGCTGCTGCGGCCATCTGCTGCTGAGACTGTGAGAGCGTTCGCTTCTGGCCCGACATGTGCGCCGAGTCGCTGCTTCCGTTCTTCATTGCATCGCCTCCGGAGAGCCCCGAGCTGCCGTCACCTTGAAGGTCATCAGATCCCAGCAGCGACGACGACAGATCCAAGTTCAGGAAGTCCGAAGACTCGCCAAGACTCATATCTCCACTCATACGTTGTTGGTTGGCGCCACCATTGGCCGCGCCATTCCGCTGGGCTTGAGCTTGAGCTTGTGCGCGAGCTTGAGCTTGAGCCTGAGCCTGGGCTTGTTGCTGCTGCTGTTGCATGTAGTTCGGGTTCTGTCGCTGTTGCATCTGCTGCTGCATTTGCTGCTGCTGCATTTGTCGCATCGAGTTTTGACGTTGAAGAGCTTGGTTCTGCTGGTACTGCTGCTGTTGGAGCGAGTTTTGACGCTGCATCTGAGCTTGTTGCTGTGCCTGTTGCATTTGAAGCTGCCGCCGTTGCAGTTGTGCTTCCTGGAATTGTTGCAGCTGCTGTGGCGTGAGCTGCTGTCTCATCTGCGGGTTCTGCTGCATCTGCATCTGCAAATGTTGCTGCTGCATTAGCTGCTGCTGCGTCATCCGGTTGCCGTATGGCATGTTGCCTACTACGTTGCCTTGCGGCATGCCGCCAGCTCCCGGGTTCATACTCATGCCAGAAGGCCCATTACCAGCCATCATCGACGCGTTGCCGGAGTTTCCCGTCCCACAACCCGGTACACCGCCAGAACCTGCTCCACGAGGGTTGCCTCCAGCCTTGTGCTGCGCCCTTGCACCCATCGTCACAGCCAAATGTTGCAGTCGCGTCTTCAGAGATGAGAAATCGCCATACTCGTCCCGGTTCTTCGCTGTCCGGTACAGAGAATCCTCTAGTCTCCTCGCCATGTCCGGCAACCGTCGGATCCACTCGGCAGGTGCGTCTGGTTTCCGTTGCTGCAACAAACTAACACTGCACAGCAATACCAGTCAATAAAAAGAACAAGTTAGTCAACGCCGCGTCGTTCTGTAGCAGTCTGCGTACGTACATTTTGCCGATCATCTTCCGACGTAGAGGGAGATCGTTCTCCGACTGCCATGCCGTCTGCGTATCGTTGCTACCACCAGGTGTCCGGCCCGCCGCAGCGCGCTGTTGAGCCTGTTGCTGTGCCATTTGAGCTGCTCGCATCCTTGCTGCGTTCATCATACCGGCCTGCTGCGCGTTCTGTTGAGCATTGCCCATCATCATGTTCGGATTGCCATACTGCGCATACGCCGCGTTGCCTGGAGCTCCTCCACGGTTCATCGCTGGGTTGCCACGTTGCACATACGCATTCCCACCCATCATACTCTGCTGTGTGGCAGCGCTTTGACTCATCGAGATACGAAGCACCTCCATCGGTGGAGGAATCAAGTCTGGATGCTGCATCATCATGGCCTTTACGCGCGCAAACTCTTCTTCGTAGGACGAGGTCGGCGGACGGTACGCTTGTCCTGGTTGGCCTCCCATGTACTGACCACCAGCGCTAGTAGGCGGCGCTCCACTCACTCCACCGGACATTTGACCCGCGTGCATTTGCTGTTGATACGACTGGCCAGCGAACTGCTGCGGCTGACCGTTCTGCTGGTTCATCATCATCTGGTTGGCGTATTGACGCTGTTGCTGCTGCTGTTGCATCTGCATCTGCTGTTGCTGCTGTTGTTGGTTGCCAATATGCGGTCGAGCGGACGACGTAGTGGACGGTGCGGACGTCGTAGCACTACTACTCGACGTGTTGCTGCTTACAGGCGCTGAAGAAGCGGCTCCGCTACTAGACTGCGTCGTTGTCGCAGAAGACGGCGCAGAAGAGGCCGTAGATGACGCAGTGGACGTGGCTGTACTGGAGCTCGAAGTCTCCGACTTGTGCGGCGCAGACGACGGCGCGGCGCTCGTCGTAGTCGATGACGTCGCGTTGGACGTTGAGGAAGACTGTGACGTCGACGCTGGAGCACTGCTGGACTCCTTCTTGGTCTGCGAGTCTGTCTCGGTGTTTTTGGCCTTATCATCTGACGTGGTGGACGCGTCAGTCGTCACGACAGAGGATGTCGTTCCGGTGGTGGATGACGAGGGCGCGCCACTCGCTTCGAGCTCCGAGCCGAAGTAGTTCGACGCCATGTCCCCAGACGAGCTCGTAGGCGGCGCAGAGGACGTGGGCGCTGACGAAGACGCTGATGTGGGCGCTGCGTTGTCTCCTGGTTTCTGGTTCTGCGTGTTAGGCGAAGGCTTGGGCGAGTCGCCGAAGCTGAAGTCGTTGTCGCCACCGCTGGGCATGGAGGCGAAAGGGTCATCTCCCAGACTCTGTACGCCCGTGGGAGTACCCACACTGAAAGGTAGGGCGCCGCCACTGCCGCCATTGGGCGAATTGCCCATGGGCGTGCTGTTAGTCCAAGAGCCGAGCGAGCCCAAGTCCAGCAGGTCGCCGCCGGCGAAATCGAAGCCGAAGGAATCCATCGCGCGTGGTTGATTGGATTTAAATACTAGCACAAAGACTACAAGACACTATAAGGCGGAGGATTCCGTCTGCCATGTCACACAAGAGATCCGCAGGTTACAAGACGCTGAGAAATTAACACAAAGGGCTGAGTCGCTGAGCTGCGTACCTGGTAAGCGAGCGTTCTCTCCCCCGTTTACTATTGATCCAAGCCTGAGGGATGAGAAGAGAGAGCGCTAGAGGACGGACGGGGTCTTGTCTACGCTGCTGCTTGGTGTCGCTCCCGTCGTTCGTGCCTACTGCGCGCGGAGGTTTTGTTGGGCTTTTGACGGCTGAAGCGCCCCGTTCAAAACTGAGGGAAAAAGCTAAAATAACGTCTTTGGCGGGCGGGACAAGCTCTGTCAAAGCATACTTAAGAAGTTAAAAACCTTGCAAATTTCAAAAAACCTCGTGTTCAAAATATGACAAAAGCGGGGGTTGTGTTCTCCCTGCTCTGGCTTTCTCTCGCGCGCGAAAATGTTCCCCCTCAACTCAACTGGTGCACTGCTTGGTGAGATTACTGCGCTCGCAGCCGGCGTCGCCAGTCAAGCCGCGGGTGTGACGGCTGATGCCCTACAGCTATCAAAATACATTGCGCCCGTGACGTTTCGTAGGTCTAGTAGAACGATGTCACTCAAGATCGCGCACCTCAACAAAAAACCCTGCGAGGGGCGCGACTCCCACTATTTGAAGGTCGTCGTTTGGCGTGGCAACTCTGATTGGCTACATTTTTAAGTGAAATACTATGTTAGCAATATTCGCCAAAAATGTTGGTGGTCTTTTCAATGCGAATAGTATTTTAAAAATCGAGAACCTTTCAAAATACATGTTTTACATGATTTTTCTAATCTCATTTACCCCAACAACATTTGTCCTTAAAATGAGGACTAAATAAGATGCAAGATCGTCAAATTCCGTAAGGAGGCGAGCGCAATTGCCTATGACAGCTGAGACACCCGACGCCACTTTGTTTAGAATTGAATTTTATTTGATTATACTTTCGAATTTGACGACTTTTGTCCTCTGCTTGAGGACAAACACTTTCTGGGAAGTCATTCCATATACCTTACGGCATAACAGCTCATGCAATTGCGCGTATGTTTAACGAAGTGTTGCTAGTTGGGTAGTAGAGAGCTAATACAGGAATACATTTTTATATATATTTACAGGAGCATCTACCGATACTGAGGCCAAGCAAAGTCATCAACTTTTGGTCCTCGTTTTTTTACCTTAACTTTTATCGCTGGGGTTAACACAGCGAATGCACACGGCTCCGGTGACTTTTTTCATCAATACTCCACACAAAGCCGCCCAAAATAGTTTTAACGATCACTCTTTCGCTCGATATGATCTCATGGCGTCGTTTCACAGTCAGCTATAGCTCCGAGGGGTGGACGCATCGGAGAAGGTGCGCGCGTCCCTGGTACCGTTTGTCGGTTGGCTCTGCCCACGTGCCGACTCGGCTGCCAGAGTACCCTCGTCTGTGGAGGAAATGGTTAAGTAGAACTCAGCGATGTTCTTAGGAATGGTGATGCCCGAGGCGCTGCGACGCTCATGTCGGCTGCAATTGATGACGTAGCCGCGCGGGTTTACGGCCATGTGTGCCTTCAGTCTATTATATTCTACATGGACTCGGTCATATATCCTGTAGCACGGATTTCCTGCTGTAATGTCACACCTGTCACGTACAGTGCACACGGAAAATGATGCAACGTGTGCCCCGAAGTCATCAGCTTCCTCATCTACGTTTCTCCGGCCTTGTCACGAGTAAATATGATGTGCCAGTGCTCGGCAGAAGGTATTGATAGTTTTGATGAAGGCCTATGTATATACACGCAGCACAAGAGCGCTTAATTTCCATGTGTCGCCTTGCTCAAACATACTAAGCAACACGAAGCGTACGTCCATCCGTGATCGGGGAGCGGTCCCCTCTTCCAACGTTTCAAATAGCGAGTGATGTGAGAGCTGAAGGTCCTCTAAAATAGTTTAATCTCATGCGATGTGGAATTAGTTAGTCGCCGGATACGTTTCAGGGACACATACCTTCATAATAGGGCACGGATAGTCCGGCTCATCAGCGTTTCCTGACACTAAAATCTGTCGAGCTCAGAATGGCAGCCGATCTCGCGGTCAACAAGCATACCAAACATTTTGTGGTCGTGTTGCTCGTGAGCGGCACGAGTGTTGTAAGTTTTCTGGCGCGGCATTGGAGGAGGGGAATGGTGTGGAGGGTCAAGGCACTTGTCTTGGCAGCTTTAGAGTAAATCTTAAAATGGTAAAGCACGTTGGTACACTGTCAGCACTTTTGTAAGAAAGGTTGTGTTTGTAAAACGCTCGACAAAATATGCATGTCCAAGTTCTACGTATTCGCGCTCGTACTAGCTGTGTAATGTGTAGCTAATGGCGGGTTATGTCAATGGTGTAGCGAAGCTGCTATAGCATTAGCGTCAGAGGAAGACGTTCGACTCAAAGAGTTCGTTATACAAAGTTTTTTATGTCAAGGAACTTTAGCACAGCGCTAAAATCTACGTTCAAGGGTTACTACTTGACATAACTATTTTGCTTTCAGATCCAAAGTATTTCATTTACTTTATTGCGGTCAAGCCGCCTAAGGGGGAACTATTTAGCAGTGGCGGGGGGAGAGCCATCTTTTGGGGGGGGGGGGCTGGGCCCCTTTAAAATTCTGCCGATTTCCTTTTTTGGCCGTTTTTGTTAGCGGTGTAGAGGTGTTGGAACGAAGCTTGGGGCTGAACGGAGTGACTTCCGCACTTGGTGCGGAGACCGGAGCGAAGACACTTGAGCGGAAGAAGGAAGATTCGAAAGTGATTGATTTATCGGGGCTTACACTGTCCTCACTACCTAGGTCATCCAATCACTCTGGACTCGTCCAATCATCATACTCGTCCAATCATGGGTGGCATAAACAGCGTACCATAATCACAGCGGGAATGTATTGGACGGGTTCAGGTTGACCGGTTAATGGGTACAGCTGATACACAGTACCAAGACCAGCAACCCTTAGTAGTTTTCCAGGGAATTTTTAAAAAGTCCTAAGAAATGGAGCTTTTTTATTTTAAGACTCAAGGCCCCCCTGCTACATGTATCTAGCATAGCTAAATCTAATCAAATGCGTATCGTGTATCTGTTTAAATATCGAGCATAAAATAACGCCTGTGCGACCAACACTTGCAAAACGTGGCATCATGCATCTGTTTACAAAATCTGCCCAATAAAAATGCAGTATATGACCTCAAACCATTAGGCACCTACCAGAATACTTTGCAAAACAATCCATCATGCCACGTTTTTCAAAGGATCTTAAAAGTGACATCCGTCATTTCTTTAAGCTCATATTTGGGCCATCTTGCTAAGATACTATTAATAAGCGGTGGTATTGTGCATTATTTTATGAATTTGTCTAGTCAAAGTAAGCGAAACTTTAAAAATGCAAATGTATGGGGAATATAAGGGTTACCTTAATTGCAGCGGGGCTGCCGTAGCTTTAGCGTCAGAGGAAGACGTTCGACTCAAAGAGTCACTAATACTAAGTTCCTTATCCAAAGGAACTTACAGCCCAAGACCAGGGCTCAAAGTTAATACCTTAACTTTTATGATTCAAAACCAGAAGTGTTTTATTTACTATTATTGCGGCCAAGCCGCCTAGGGGTAAATGTATCTCTTTAACTATCTAGCATAGTTAAACCTAATCAAATGCATAACGTGTGGCTTTCAGCCAACGTACTGAGAGACCTTGTTAACTCTCCAACTTATGTACTGAGAGTTTGTTAGCTCTCCGGGTACTTCGTACCCCTGTGTGTTCCACACCATGTAACCCCGTTACACTCTCCCTCACTAAGATGAGAACATTCCGTTCTCGAACTTTCCTCAGCGAGGTCACGTCTTGTCAAGACGACGGAGGTCACTAGACCTCACCTCTGCGTTCTGCAGCTCCACGAGCTCACAAACGCGTTCGCATCCTTGATGCCTGGCACTTCCACTCCGGCCCACGGCCCAACGTCTCCAGCGCGTCGCGCCGCCCCTGCCTCGTCGGTCCCAGACTCCCAACTGCGCTTCGCAACTGCTCCAAGTGCATCTTCGTCTCTTTCGGTGGCAGAGTACCACCAAGAGTATCGCCGTCGACACGGTCAACGCTCCATGAGTCGTCAACAAGAAGAGAGCAAAGCTCAAAGCTCGTCAGAGCCGCGGGCGCCGCCCAGAGGGAACGATGTTCTGTTCTCGGAACTCGAAGAGGGGCGAAGTCGATTACGACGAGCTCATGGGTAGTGAGGATCACTCCCAACGCAACCTCTCCGAGGTCGCACACTGGTGCCGCGTCTTCCCCAGCGTCCTCTGTGAGGTCTAGCCGCTCAACGGCGCGATCTCAAACAGGAAGAGACCTGCGGACACCGCATTCGTTCTCAAGAACGTTCGAATCCGAATTCGCTCGCTGCGC